GTGCTGGATTACATTGTAGAGAGGAAGAGGATGGATGACCTTGTACACAGCTGTACAGACGGCCGACTCCCAGATCAGAAGGTCAGGGTCAGATATAAAACTAACAGCTCATCTAGAGTCTAAACGAGGATCAATTGTTTACCTTTTTAGGTCACCTGAGTAACTCAGGTGACCTATTGCTATCTGTTTTTGTCTGTCGTCGTTCATCGTCCGTCGTGTGTTAACATTTGAACATTTTCAGCTTCTTCTCTGAAACCACTGAACCAATTTCGACCAAATTTGGTATACAGCATTTATGGGTGAAGGGGAATAAAAATTGTAAATTTTATGGTCCCCGCCCCCCCCCCCCCCCCCCCCCCCCCCCGGGGCCTCTTGTTTTAAAAGTACTGTAAAACTTGGATGTAAGAAAGTCACTGGGATGTCAAATTTATCTGCCTTTTAATTCTTTAAGAATTATCCACTAAGAAACACTGTAAACAGTTGGGATTTCAAAAAAAATATCTTCACCCAAAATTGTCTTTCAAGCAAGTTTGTTATAACCTAGTTTTACTGTATATTGCTTCATGTAAAAGAACCACATTTCTTAAAAAATTGATTTGAAATTTAAGTTTGCAGTCGTGTTTAAATTACCCACACACCTGTGTTTTAGTTCCGTCTGAAGCACTGCGGCCTTAAGAAGCCAATCTTTATGGTGGAGGATTACGGGTCCCTGCAGCACTTCAGTATCCCAGAGGACCGCATCAGACAGACCATAACCAATCTCAAGGTAACCTTTCACATTCAGTAAAACTAGATTATAAGGAAGCCACTGGGACTCATGAACTTACTTCATTATATCTGTAATTTGTTATATCCATATAAGGAATTCATAAAATTTATAAAACTGGGGTTCCAAGATAACTTTGCTTTAACTCTTTTCCCCCTAATGCATCACATCCTTTACCCCCTGATGCCACCATTTGACGCTATGCCCCATTTCCCTGATGCCACCATTTGACGCATACACACAACAACCTTAAATTAGTTCTGTGATTTCCCCTGTTTCTTAATAAATTCAGCTCTAAATGATAGCCAATCATGTGTATTACACATTAGGTAATGTTACTATAATTAGTGAAGTCACAGCTTGGTGTGAATTCACTTGAGATTTACCTGTGTGAAAACAATGGCACCCAGTCTGTTTACAAGAAGAAATTGGGCCTTGTCACAAGCAAAATTCAGGCTTAATATTGCATTTTATGTAACATACCTTGGATTATATTAGCATTCACAATGTTTTTACATCAGTTCTAAAGTTGAATTTAATAGAAATAAAATTTTACAATGAAAATTAGAGGAAGAACATCATAGACTTTTTAACAAGAACAACTTACAATGGCAGCCACAGATTTCCCATGCGTTTTATGAGTACTAAATAATCTACTTTCAGCATTTTTTTCATCAGGGCATTGATTTAGATAAAAACATGTATTAATTTATTTTCCCCAAGACTTTTGCAAGAAGTGGTCAACTAAATATATAAAATACTTATAAACATGCCTGCTTGAACATGATTGTGAAGTTTAGTTGGCTCAAGTCTAAGATAATTACCTATCATTATTAATCTATCTTAATTAATATTAATTAAACAAAAAATAATGAGCCTTTTAATTGGTTTGGTATTATATTTTAAGTTTACTGGTATATTTTATAGAAACTTTCTCTCATATAAAGGATAATATGAAGATTAGTTGTGAAAAATTCATTTTACCTGGTTTCACCTATATATTTTTAATTGTAGATTAATTATTCTTAGAAAATTATATGACAATACTAAAGTTCAATCCATTCCCCAAACATTGATATATAATATGTGACACTTTGATGATGTTTAGGTACTTAATTAGCATGTTCTAAATGTTATGGTCAGTCATTTCAAGTCAGTCAAAATGGCTTCAGGGGGCAGCCAGATAAACACTCTAGGGAAATCGCAAGTGCGTCAAATGGTGGCAACAGGGGGAAAAGAGTTAACCGTGTTTGTACTAAATGAGTTTCGCTGTATTAATCCTATATCCAATCAGATGGGCTGAAGAAATCGTGTGCAACTCACAACTCAGATATGGCTGAATTAATTCAAGGTTAAAAGTCAAGGTCACTTTTACCTTACAGGTCATTGATGGTTTTCAAGTAAAGAGAACAAAAAATGTGAGGGAGTCTGTGGCCTATCTAACAGTGATGACACGCTACCTTCAGAGTTACTACAAGGTGGGTACTGTCATCTACAATGTACAACTACAATATTTTGTCCCATCTCAAAATAAGGGGATCAATGAATATCAGTTGAAACACGACAAAATGATATTTCTCTTCTTCTGTGGCAAAGAACAATTAGTAAATATATTTAGTTCTATAAAGCATGTAAGTGAGATTGCTACAGAAATATGAATGTCTAAAAATGCTAACTACATGACATCACACTTTCTTCTATTCACAAGATGTAAAACTAGTATGTCTTTAAAATAACAAACAGGAAAAAGAAGACATTTGAAGATTAGTAATATTTGAAACAGATGACAAGAGTTATCTTTCTTTAGAATAAGACCCTCCACGCCTGCAGTATTGATGACATCAAAGAACAGGTGTGGAGTAACGACATAAACGACCGAGAAATGAGACTGATGGAGTTCCAGGAGTTTAACCAGGGATCCGTCAAGTCTAGGGTAAGGGTGCATTTTAACCAGAAGTCAGAAAAAAATATATGTACTTAGATGTTTTGAAAGTACAAATGTTAGCTCTCCAGTCTGAGGAAAACTCTTTCAAACTTGTTGGAAATTGACTGTAGGTTCAAGGAAAACAGGGTATAAAGGTTCATATCGTTAAAAATCTGTTAACCTAGATACCTCTTATTATAATTTACTGAGGTTCAGTCTTCACAACAATTCTTTTTCAGCACATGCCCTTCGGGCATGTATACCGATCATTTTAACCCAGCCCATTGAAATTTGTACATGCCCTACTCAAAATTCATTCATATAGCAGATATGATTGTGCAACAAAAACATAAGGTTTTTACATTAACTTTAAGGACAGTGTTTCTGTTTTGAAATTCTCTCGATCTTAAGTTTAAATTGTTTTCAGAGTTTTAAATCAACCATGGCCTGCCTGTCTGCCATTTTCATATGTGTTTTTCTTCACAACTTGAGTCTCGCATGCTGGTCGTTTGTTGGCCGGTTTAGCTGAACTGAATTTCAGAAATAGGATCATGACAGCAGTCCACTGCACGTGGCATCAATAAACATTTCGTAGTTTAGCAAGAAACTTCAAAAAAACAAATAGGTTAAATTAAACACTTAAAAGGTTACGATTTACAATCATTTGACAGTTCGTACCGAGAATGTAACTTAAGACGAATGTAAACTGGCAATTCATCTTAAGACATTACATAGCAAGTTTACGCGAATAACTGGGGTATGACAGAAGAAATGGCAAGTAAACATCGTGAATCAAAAGAAAATTCACACATGCCCTTCGGGCATGTAATTTGAGAATTTTCACATGCCCGTTGGCAAATTTACCAGGTCCCGGGCATGGGGCACCCAGGTTATTTCGAAGACTGGAGGTTTAGCTTGTATAATAACTTAAAATCTACATTAGGTTTCTACATATTTTTGTTCAATTAAAACAGACAGTAATTTTAACTTTTGGAGGCCAGATGTCTCATTCAATGAACACAGTTATTTGGGTGATAAATTGGAATCAGCAAGTCTGTCTGTCTGCCTGTCTGTAGGGATGATTGTTTTGAGACTTTTTTCACGGAGACTATTGCATAGATTGCCTAAAATTTTTACACTTTTATTCACCATATAAAGATGTACACCTGAGATTTTAATGATGATTGGATAATTTTTTTTCATTTTTATTTGTCCACTTTGGACAGTTGTGGTTGAACTGATGGTTTTAATTGATTTTTCTGTCACAATTTCATGAGATACATGTACATTTGTAGAATCTGAGTGTTCAGGGCATGTTCTGTAAACAACTGAGTAAAGTGAGTGGGATGTCTGGAGAGAGGGCACAGGCTGTGACTCAGATCTACCCCACAATAAGTTAGTAAGTAACTCAGATAAGTAACTAATAAACTCAGATATAACTCAAAATGAGTCCATGACTCAGATCTACGCCACAATACAAAAAGTAACTCAGACCAGAGTCAGTTAGCCATCTAGAACTCAGTTATTAGAATAAATCAAGCCAAAACCATGTTGTTTACATGTAGTCAATTTAAATCAGATGTATCACTGAATAAGTCATTTAACAAATCAGATCTTGACCATAATTTATCCCATATGTGTACTACATATGTCATGTACATACATTTATAAGTCATTTTACTTTGTAATTGCATTTTCCACATCTTTGTCCACATACATGTACTGTTTACATCCTGTCCTACCTTTCAGCTTACTGGAGGCCTACAGATCCTGTCCCAACAAAATGGCTGCCGAGCGGCTACTTTCCACAGTTAAAGTTAACAAGTCTTTTAGGTATGTGTTGATCACAGGGACTCTTCCCAAACTAAAATCATTCTAATTTTATGCCTCACCATAATAATGGCCATCATGTCCATCTTCCATCAAACCTCATATGCTAAGATACCAGCTGTTTTGAGAAATTCTACTTGTGCCATTACTTTTATGCCCATCTTGAAAAGGGAGAATATTGCTTTCTGGAGGGTGTGTCGGTAAGCCAAGTGTTGTACGGGCAATATTAAAACCCTTTAATTGAAATACATCAAACTTGGTACACTGTTACCACTTGAGAAGTAGATGAGTGTAGGAAAATTCAAAATTTATTTCCCTGATTTATCCACACCTGCAATGCATATGTAAAATATTGAAAGAATAAGTTCTTCCTTTTGGGCAGTGGCGCAGTGGTTAGAGCATCTGCTCTAGAGTCGTGAAGTAAGGAGTTGATCCGTACGTCGCGGGTTCGAATCCAGGTGCGGGACGTGGAGACCGGTCATTCAGATGAGACTGTATAAACCAAGGCCCCGTATAGCAGTAAGTGGTGGCACGAAAAAGATCCCTCACTGCTCAAAGGCCCTGAGTGCCGAGAATAGGACAAAATTTGTAGCCCTCCACCGGCAAGTGGTGGCGTCTCCATATGAGTGAAAAATTCTCGAGAGGGACGTTAAACAACATACAATCAATCAATACAATCCTTTTGGGCAGTAATATGTGATCAAAGTTTTACATAGGACTTGTAGGAAAAAGAATCTGTTCATGAAGAACAAATTGGCCTTACTTTCTCAGATGAGCAATATGACCCATGGACCTCTCATTTTTCTTTTTAACAGGAAAGATTTGAAGCTTAAAACCCACATGATATATATAGTAGTGGAATCATATGCATCAAAACAATGAAGCACTGGTTTGACAAGTCAAATAGCAATTTTTCCTTAATAAACGAAATTTTCAGAATACTCAGAAATCAGATTAGACAAATTATCTGTATATTTCTTTTCATGTTGCAGTATAAATTTGCATTGGGTTGGCCATTCAAATCCTGTGGACATGTATTTCTAAATTTTCATGTTAAAAACTGTTGCATTCTGATTTTCTGATATCTTAATTTTTATTGTTTTCTCAAACCATCAAGATGTTTATTTCCAGGAATCCAGTGATGAATCCGAGCAGACTTATCCATCAGCTGTACTCCACAGAGGGACCATTAAAATGACAGACTGTCGGACATCATCTCAACTTGCAACATAATCAGTGCTCTATGTGATTGTGTATCATACTTTTCCCTAATTTTTCACATATTAGAATCCTTTGAACTTTGAAGATTGATAGACACATCTCAGTGCTATCTCAAAAACAGATGTTACCTACGACAGTGTTTAAGAATCACAACTGTATAACACATCCATGATATAATGAGCGTGTCCTATGCAGTCCGAGTATGCAACGAATTATCTCGAGATACATGTATAAGAAGTGTCAAACATTTACTCTATGCACGAAGCCGATGGACTTTTGATCTTCAATACTGTTCAATATCTCTATATGTTTCATTGTAAATACATTTACACTAAAATAATTATGTACTTTATTTTTTTGGTTGAAAAATCATACACAGTTGTAGGAGGAATATACAGATACATGTTTCCTCCATATTCTGTCCATTTCACAGTGTATAGCCAAGAAAATGTTTCAATTGGTGCAAATGCAAATACAGTGTATTTCTTTATATCAAGTGACCCCCTGCGTAGCGTTCAGTCACAAAAGTTGAAAGATTTTACTGAGTCTTATATTTCTTTCCATGTGAGTTAATTTTTATGACAAGAACAGTTCATTTGTCAGAAATGGTCAAATCTCGGCAACAGAATAGGTGGATAAGAATATCATTTCCAAAAATGAGCATGGCGACCTTTAAAACACAAATCTTGTGTCTCGGGAGAGATTTTTATTCAAGGTGGATAGAGAACAGTAGCCTTCTTTTTATCATATCTAATATGTTTAAAATCAAAAGTAAACGATATCTTAGGTATTTAATAATTATATTATTGTTCAAATATTCAACTATTTTTCAAAGTGAAAATTGGAGGTCTTTGATAGCAAATTGCTTAATTAAAAACACATATCTTTTCAAAATTGCTTTCATTGGGCCAAATGACAAGTATCATTATTAACCATCTGCCTTCCTTCACTAAAACAATCAATCCAATCATTAATTGAATTTATAGGAACTCATTTATCTTAGTAAACTGTGTACAAATTATTATATGATACTGCAGAGGGATATCTAAGATATACAATAAATTGTACAGTCGTTTGTAGAATGAGTTCGACTGAGACAACTATTTTTAGTCACAAGTGACCTACATAGTGACGTCATTTTCACATTGTGACGTCACAAACAAGGAGAAAAACTTTATTCAGCATATGCTATTTATAGACCTTGTGTATGGCTATGTGTGTACCGAATTTCAATCTAATCTGAATTGTGGTTTTGTAGATATAGAGATAGTTTGCGAACTTTTTGATCACCCCTCGTAATAAATGTAAGGCCTTCTTGATGCATGTACTTCTTTGTACACGTGTATTACAATTTGTTACTTTGACTAGGACAGTAAAGATTACAAATAAATGTCTTGGGGAAAAAAACAGATTGAGTGGTGTCCCTTTTTGAGTCCCATTTAACATCACTCACATGACTTGATACTGATGGTATTTCAGGTCATACTTTGTATAGTTCAGTATTGTGTTTACTGTTAACATTAGTCCCTTTCAAATAACATGTACAACATGTCTATAGGTACATTGAACTGTCATATTTGATGCATAAAACTTAGGGCATTTGAAGAAATTTGCATTGCAGATGCTTTTCAAATTTTTGACAATTAAAACATTTTGAATGTCGCTAAATATTTTTCAAATGAAAAAGTGTACATGTACAGAAAGCCTGATGAAATGTTTTACAGTGTACATGTATTACACCATTTTACCATATTGTGACATAATTATCTATTGGAAAGTATGTGGAAACTCATAATATACTCATAATACTCAGTTAACTGGTTTGTCATCTTACTTACACATTATTTCATGGTTTTACGTAATAATATATTAGACTTTACAGAAATAAATCTGGCTGTAGTGAAAATAAGACTCAAAAGCAAATACACATTTACTTGTGTCTTGTATGATATGTACAAGTAATAAGTCTTATAGATAGATAAAAAGAAAATACATGTGCAGTTAAGGGTCCATTCTTCAGTATGTTAAAACATCAGAAATATTGCATGCATTTGCTTATTTATGATTATGTATATGGTGATTATGTGCTACACAGCGATGTATTTCACTTCAGATATTTGATTTTCTTCACTTTTCTGTTTATATACTGAGCAACAAACAGATTGTCATTTCTATCTGTCCACAGTCCCCAGGGTAAACTCAGTCCACAGACTATATAACGGAGGAACTGTCCATCCTGGTCTATGATGTGGACACAGTGATTGTTAACATCAGCTGTAAGGATGTGACTCTGACTGTCTGTGGTAATTCCTCGTGGACTGAATGGTTTGTTTTTTGGAGCAGGAGTATGTCCAGTGTACCTGAATCTCGGTTTCCCGGCCTGATTGACCACCACTACTGCTTTAGCTCCCTCATCAGACACACAGATATCCAGGTTCCTCTTCTCAGTTATGTATCTGTAATAATTACCAGATGAATAGAGAGATTTACCTTTATCATCAAACTGAATGGTTTGTTTCTCTCTGGAGCCAGAGTAACAGACAACTTTTGTTTGTTCGTCATCATCACTTTCCATGATAACCAGGAGGTCACCAGAGGAGGTACTACAGACACCCCAAGGTCTCCAGTTCTGTAGTCTGATCACCTCCTCTATCTTTTCATTCTTCACAATGTTCACAGTTCTAACATCATTATCGGTATAAACTAGATCTCCACTTTTTGTCACTGTAATATCATCTGGCATGTTACCTGACTTGGTTGTGATTGACTGGTGTAGTGATCCCTGATTGATGCTGTAGAGTTTCATGGTGTTGTTAGTTGCACTTGTCCAGATTTCTTCATCACTCAGACAGGCTACTTTGTAAAGTTTTCCATACCTAGTGTCTATTGTGGTGACAGTCTCTGGTTCATCAAGCAGCTGTTTGACTGGAGGAGAGGATCCAGCTTCTGGTGATTTCTGTGGTGTCTTCATGCTGTAGCCGTGTTTATCTGATGATAAAGAACTTGATGATAAGGCGCCAAACAGTTTGCTAAGTTCTTGGATTTTTCCTGGAATGAATTTAGGTAAGATTGGTTCAAGTTTTTGTGGAAGATTTCTGTATGTATTAATTACACTGGTCAACGATGCGCCACTCAATAGTTTTGACAAGTTATTTGTGTCTGTAGCTATTTCAAGTGAATTGATTTCATCCTTGATGTCAGACATTGTCTTGTTTATTTCATACAGATGTTTCTGTAGAGTTTGTAATTGTGTGTTTTTTCATCTCATCAACTTCAGCTTTAAGTTTCTTGACAAGTTTGTCAATTTCTCTGTGCCAATTCTCTCCATGTTTTGTTATGGCTGTTGAGAGATCTCCAAATTCCTTTTCCAACTGACTCGTTCTGTTTTGTACATCAGCGGCAATGTCCTGGTAGGTGGGGTAAATTGTCTCTTTCAATTCAATATGTTCTTTCATGAATTTATCCTTTATCTCATTCACAATTTCTAAGATTTCTGATAACTTATGACCAAGATGTTGATCAGATGCAATGCATTTAGTACAGACAGGCATGTCACATTGATTACAGTACATTGTACATTGTTGTTTGACATGAGATTTACATTCAGGGTAGAGGGGGGTGGATTTCCTGACTGAATTTTAACGACAATGTGATCCTTGGATTCATCAGATATCATGTGTTCTCCTACACAAGCTGTACACAGGTTGACAAGACATGTATCACAGTGCATCTGTACTACAGCGGTCTCACACAGGTCACATCGCATCACGTCCTGGGCACTGGTACGGGGGTCCATGATTAGGTGTTAATTGTTTTTGACAATCTGTACAATGTAAAATAAATCAACAGATAATTATATATATAATATACCATCTTAGATGATAAATATACTAGTATACGTGAAACATACGTGTATTCCAAACGTACATTTCACATACGTTATGTCGTCACACGCATGTTATACGTACGTTGTGCCACATATGTGAAACATGTGTTTGGAATACACGTATGTGTTACATACGATTTACATACGTGTAACATATGTGAAACCATACGTTGAACGTACGTGGCACAGTTAGCTGTGTATATATTATTTTGAATGATAATAAAGTGTAACCGGAAGTAGAACTCTTCAGTGTATAAATTACCAAAGTTACTAGCCAACTCGGCTTAAAGGAGTAAACTATCTCCAGTTATCAATGATCAACCCAGGTAAGGGGATTTCTGAACTATGGTCAACGCTAAATGAAAACACAGTTGTAAGTTTTATCAATTTAATAAAGTGAGAATTAACCGTTGTAAATGATAACAAATAATAAATATTGATCAAAATTTATCAAACAGAAAAGTCTTTGAAAATGGCACAGGATAAATGAAGCTTTATCAAAAATGTAATTTAATCTGAAAAATGAATCTCAATAATCTCAATGAATAATCTCAATAAATATATAAATAATTGAAAAATGTAATGAAAAATGGGAGGAATGTGGCAAAACTATGAAAAATAATCTATGTCCCTACTGGGCTGCCATACTTATCAAAAAGGTGAAAAATCCTATAAAAATCAATGAGATGGAAAAATGAAAAGGGAATGAGCTACATCACCCAATATGACACTATCAACACTCTAGAGTTAATCTGAAAATATCAATACTAATTCTAGGCTCTAAAAATAACTGACCCAGAAAATAAACAACACCCAAAAATATATAATAAATAGTGGTTCTAGAAAATAAACCTGTTATCTACATATCCCTAGACCAGGCTGGACTTGGAAAGGGGAAACTAAATTTACTTTAAATACCCTACATCCTAACTGTTTCCTAACATGTGAAAATCGTGAAACTAAATCTAAGCCAAAACCTAGAGAACTGTTAAACCATAAGGTTTTCTTAGTCCACTAAGTATCTAATCAAATAGTGCTCATAAACCATAAGGTTTTCTTAGCACAGAAAAGAGGAACTAACCATGAGGCTGTGTTCCCCAACCCAAGTGAAGAAAACTACACGAACACGGGTTTAAATACCCTGACAAGGCCCAAAATAAAAGCCAATGACTATCAAAGATCCTAAAGTTAAATTAACCAATCAGAACGCAGGTATCAAAAGTACTACGGAAAGACTGCCAACATGGATGACACTTCCTGTTTAAAAAGTAAAACATGTGGAATGTCAACTCATGTCCTAACTTATAAAAGACAAATAATAAAGGACTTTTACGTAAGTAACAGCTGAAAACAAATGGTAAATAGAATTATCAGACTGAAATACCAGCAAATACTTGTAAGATAAGAATTACGAAACGATGGCTATGAAATAAAAATCTAAACCACTACAAAAGCAAAGAAACAAGGATAATGAAATGTACTTGAGGTAGAGAGATATCAAAAGTCACTCATTACTAACTGAATCAAAAGGACAGAGACATTTTCAGAAATCTATAAACTTTTTCACCATTTTATTTACTTTTCAAATCTACAGATTAAAAATTATTTCTCATTGCTACCTGAATGCAGTAATGGCGACCGCCCTGTTTATCTCTATGTACTGCAGTCACGTGACACGCCTGTGTTATCTACCTGTCATGTATTTATACTTCCTGGTGTAGAAGGGATTTAAAGGTACTTGGACACAGATTTGAAGTTAATATTTTTTTCTATAATATCACGACATATATATTTTAATAGCATTTCACACAAAAATTAATTAAAAATCTTATTCAATTTAAAAGTTATTAATTTCTTTAAATTTTTTCGGCGGGTTTCACACATTCCTTGCACTTTCACAAATTTTAACTTTATTCTTAATCCTTAGGAAAAGTGACAGTCTTGTTATGTATTAATGAAAAATATATCAATACTATAATCCAGAAAATTCAGTGTAGACATGTTCGAAAGCAAAATAAACACACAATATATTGTCAGTCCATGTAGTTGTGGTGAGCAGACTTTGGCGATTGAACGCACCCGGTGAATCAAAACACCAAACAATAACAAAGCTTTCGCGCTGTTTACAAAAACTGTGTACATAACACGAGTGTGCTGGATTTGCTAAACTCTGTACACAACGGAATGACGATACTTGTGAAGGAGTTTTGCTTTCTAACATTTCTACTCTGATTAAAATTATTTTTCTGGATTTTTTTTTAATGTTTCTCATTAATACACAACAAGATTTCCACTTTTCCTAAGGATAAAGTTAAAAATTGTGAAAGTGAAAGGATGTGTCAATCAAACCCGCCAAAAAAATAAAGTTTCAATAACTTTTAAATGAAATAAGATTTTTAATTAATTTTTGTATGATATGCTTTTAAAATGTATAATTCGTGATATTATACTGAAAAAATGAACTTCAAATCTATGTCCAAGTACCTTTAAATAACAATGTTATTACGTAGCTCATGCGCGGATCTAGAAGGGGGGTCCGGACCCCCTTGATTTTGCAGAGTATTTAATGCATATACTAGACGAAGTAAAAGTGACCTTGGATCCCCCTAGAAAGCGGTGACCCCTCCTCGAAAAACCGGATCTATGTGATATTGGTATAAAAAAGTCATTAGTATGAAGCTCTGAAAGTCATCCCCCCCCCCACACACACATACCACCACCACCATCATCAGCAACAGAAGGTTTTTCGTGTTTGGGAAATGAATAATGGTTGTAATAGAACGAGTTTTGGTTTATTACATTTTGCGTTGATTTATTTTGCGACGAGTTTAAGGGAAATGGAAGAACGCTTAAATGTTATAACTGTTACACTTTTTTCAGTTAGGGATAGAGTTTATTTTCAAGTGAGTTTTGGATGAAGAAAAGAAACGGAAAAAAATAATAAACATATGCTCATTATTACATTAGATCTGATTTAATCACATTGATTCCATTAGCAATTAAAAATCAGTGACTTTCCAGATATTCCAAGCAAAAGTGTTGCGAAAATGAAACGTGTATCCATCCGTGTGGGTTCGGGGTAAAGTTTTTAATTCTTTGATCTGAGTATCAGTGTTTTTTTAAATATTATGTATCTTTTTTTAAAGTTTGATAGGCACATGCATGAAATTTAAAACAAAAATTGTACGGAAAGATTTATATGAAGCTGGGACTTCGGAGAGGGAGTTTATTGACAAAATAAGGTTTCATACTGGCTTTATAACGTACATTGCAGACCAGCAAAAATATTCTGATCTCTCTCTCTCTCTTATTTGTATTAAAATGAGTCTTTTCTGCAAGCACATTAAGATACGAAGTACATGTAACAACCCATGCAGCCTCCTCTCATACACGTCGTCATGGCCGTAGGGACCCGAGGCACCGGGGGGGGTGTGTGTCCCAAATAATTTGGCCGATATATAAAATACTACAGAAAACTTTAATTACTTGTGCCCACTCAATATTTTTTACTTCTCAAGGAATCTTTAATAGTTGACAGTGCACTCATATTGCCAACTGAAAATGTATGACTATGCCCGTCTTTACCCCTAAAAAGTGCTTCTTATACAGGCCTGGTCGTACGTATAAAGAGCTTTTAATGGACCAATGGACTGATTTATAAAAAGACGCCATTTAAAGTTAATCTAATGTTTTATTAGTAGTATCAAATAAATCAAAAAAGAAACGTGCAATGTAGTACTTTAGAAAAAAGATATATTTAGACTTTATATAATGTCCATAAGAGCCGCTATGTAGGTTAAGATTTTAAAAATATAGTTGGTATGCTATTTTAAAAATATAGTTGGTATGCTTTTTTAAAAATATAGTTGGTATGCTTTTTGTTTTAAATAAAAAAGTTAATTCTACATTTTTTTTTATTATTTCATATTGAATACATTGTAAATGTGTGGTAGAACATAAATTTATAAAAAGGTTGAATAAAAATCCCCTTGGTTGGACAGGTTGTATACTCAGGGAGGGGTGGGGTTCCAGTAGGGAGGTCAACATTACCGCTTCATCGCCAAAAAAAATTCAACTCATTACCGCTACATTTTATCCAATTTCGACCGATCATTACCGCTACGTTTTTTAGTCGAAAACAACTCATTACCGCTACATTTTTCCAGTCGAAACAACTCATTACCTCTATATATCGAATCAGCAAGGTATGCAGGTACGGAATATAAGTTCCAATCACAAAGCTTTCACAAAGAATTCAGCACGATGATTTACATTTTTCATTCTAAAATTTTTAAATTTTTGGCAATGTTGACATGTAAAATATATAGCAGTGTAAAATACAATCTTTGGTTGCTACAATTTAAGCATTTCTTTTCATGCTGCAGTACAAATATAAATTGAGTTGGTCATTCATGTCCTGTGGACATGTACCGTATAAGAAGACTTTTTAGCGAGGATTTAATTTTAGCATTAATAGCGAGAGTGCTGAAATCCATAACAATGAATATTGCTAAAAGTCATTGCCTTTTAGTTGTGAAGGCTTCTCTAGTTCATAATATCAAGGTTCATTATATCGCTAAAATTACTTCTCATTAAAGATAAAATACCCATTTTTAAGGAAAAATGCTAAATTTGCGGCTTGCTAAAATTTGAACTTATACAGTAATTTTAACTTTTCCTGTTAAAAACTGTTGCATTATGATTTTCTGATGTATTAATTTTAGACTGTATAAGCTCAAAACTACTAGGTGTTTATTTGCAGGAATTTAGGAATGAATCCAAGCAGACTTATTCATCAACTGTACTCCACAGAGAGTCCACTAAAATGTCAGGGTACCAGACATCATATCAGTTCACAACACAATCAGTGCTCTAATATGATAGTGTATCACAAACTCGGACCAAATTCTAAACCAAAGAGGAATGACAGTGTACCAGATATCATCTCAACTCGTACAACAACCAGTGTGTTAATGTGGTGGTGTGTTGTACTAGCTCATTCCAAGTTCTCCATCAACAATTGAATCCTTGAACTTTTAAGATTGATAGAAACATGTCACTACTACATATATCTCACAAACAAAATGTTATCTGTGACAGTATACACCCTGAATCACAACTGTATACCATAAATCCATGATATTGTAATAATTTAATTTTACTTGTATCAAGCAATTTCATTGGCTGAATCATTCAGAGGAACATATAACATTTTGTATAACATAACTTGCCTACGTCACAATGAGCTACGTCAAAAACGTATTACTCCGCTTGACGTTACTTTTAAAATATTGCTCCATTTGAAGCCCTTTTCCGGAGGAAATATTGTCTCATTGTCTACATTGAAATTAAATTATAAGGAATGAAGCTAATTTCAACTTATGTTTTCCGATATAACAAAACTTGGGGCAGTTTACGCTTTCTTATAAACCGCTTCGCGGTTTATAAAGCGTAAACTGCCCCAAGTTATGTTATATCGGATAACATAAGTTGAAATTAGCTTCATTCCTTAAATAAATTACCATTTCTGTACTCAATATTTCTAATTTTTTGTGGGAAAATCATCTGATGGAATATAAATAGTTTTAGGAGGAATATAGAGGTGCATTTTCTTCTTTTTCTGTCAATTTCACAATGTATAACCAAGAAAATGATTTCAGTGTCAGAAATCCAAGGAATTCTTCACATCAGGTCTAGGTCTCAGGCTTCAGCTGTGATGCATGTACTTCATTGTATTACATTTTGTTACTCTGACTAGGACAGTTGACAAGATTAGAAATAACTGTCTTGGGAAAAATGAGATGGAGTGGTTTCCCTTTTTGGTAACCTTGAGTCCCGATGTACATCACTCGCATGACTTGTTACTGATGGTATTTCATGTCATACTTTGTATATTTATTGTGTTAACATAAGTTCCTTTCAGATAACATGTACAACATGTCTATATGTACATTGAACTGTCATATTTGATAACATGAAACTTTGGGTCATTTGACGAAATTTGCTTTGAAGATGCTTGTAGACTTTTTGACAATTAAAACTTTTTGAGTGTCATTAATTTTTTTAATTAAAAAGTCATGTGTTGTATAAATGCCTGATGAATTGTTTTGTAGTCTCTTACAATATCTTTAAATATTATTACATAGTTATCTATTAGAAAGCCTGAGGAAACACACAATATAATACTCAGGCGACCAGTTGTTCATCCTACTAACTTATCATTTACATCATTCCATGGTTAATGTAATAATATGTCAAACCCAAAAGAGAATAAACATTGTTTTGATGCACTCCTCATTTTACTTTTGATTTGTACATTCCCTTTAGATATTTAGTAAAGTTGCATATAGCAGACATGTATAACAATGAATTGATGCTTATAGCGAAGTGATTTTCATTCCTTTTGACTTTGAAATACTCGTATATTGAATTACGAATAAAAAAGAATTATGTTTTATGGTCTTTGGCTTTTCCTTATTAGCATGTTTTACTGTATAAATGATTAACTTAATTAATTATGTGATTAATGTTCAATCATAGATAGATGATATATATATTGAATATGACATAGTGATGTGTTTCACTGCAAATATTTGATTTTCTTCACTTGTTTGTTTCTATGTAGAGCAACAAACAGATTGTCATTTGTATCTATACATAGTCCCCGGGGTCCATTCACTCCACATCTATGTAACGGAGGAACTGTCCATCCTGGTCTATGATGTGGACACGCTTATTGTTATAATCTGCTGTAAGGATGTGACTCTGACTGTCTGTGGTGATTCCTTGTGGACAGAATGGTTGGTTCTTTGGAGCAGGAGTATGTCCAGTGTACCTGAATCTCAGTTTCCCGGCCTGATTGACCACCACTACTGCTTTAGCTCTACTGTTAGACACGCAGATATCCAGGTTCCTATTTTCAGTTATGTATCCACCAGATGAATAGAGAGGTTTACCTTTATCATCAAACTGAATGGTTTGTTTCTCTGTGGAGCCAGAGTAACGGACAACTCTTGTTTGTTTGTAATAATCACTGTACATGATAACCAGGAGGTCACCAGAGGAGGTACTACAGATACCAAAAGGTCTCCAGTGCTGTAGTTTGATCACCTCATCTATCTTCTCATTCTTCACAATGTTCACAGTTCTATCATAGTAATCAGTGTAAACTAGATCTCCACTTTGCATCACTGTTATGTCCTCTGGCCATTTCCCTGACTTGGTTGTGATTGACTTGAGTAGTGATCCCTGATTGATGCTGTAGAGTTTCATGGTGTTGTTAGTTGCACTTGTCCAGATTTCTTCATCACTCAGACACTTCGTAAAGGTTTCTATACCCATGGTAGTGACAATCTCTGGTTCATCAAGCAGCTGTTTGACTGGAGGAGAGGATCCAACTTCTGGTGATTTCTGTGTTGTCTTCATGCTGTAGCCATGTTTATCTGATGTTAAAGAACTTGATGATAAGGTGCCAAATGATTTACTAAGTTCTTGGATTTTTTCTGGAATGAATTTGGGTAAGATTGGTACAAGTTTCTGTGGAAGATTTCTGTATGTATTAATTACACTATGTGGGTCACTAAATAGTTTTGACATGTCATAAGTGTCTGTTGTAATATCAATTGAACCAATTTCATCTTTGATATCAGACATTGTCTTCTTTATTTCATCCATATGTTTTTGAAGAGTTTGTAACTGTGTGTTTTTCATCTCATCAGCTTCAGCTTTAAGTTTTTTGACAAGTTTGTCAATTTCTCTATGCCAGTCTTCTCCATGTTTTGTTATGGCTGTTGAGAGATTTCCATATTCCTTTTCTAACTGACTCATTCTGTTTTGTACATCAAAGGCAATTTCCTGGTAGGTTGGGTAAATT